AATGCAATAGCAGTGCAGCGATACTTAAAGTAAAAGAAAGGAGGGAGTGAAGGGAATAATGAAGATCGATAGGGAAACCCTTGGCGATGGAACATTAGTAATGCTGTAAGGATGCTCCATCTCCCTCTAAAGCCTCTCAAAAAAAATTCTTGACCTTTTACTTGAAGAGATGTTTATGCACTCTTCTTTCTCAAGATCAAATGTCTAGCCTTCTCATAATATCCTATCTATATATTTCCCCTTGACTTGGCAGCTGGCTTTTATGTCAGACAGTTTTTTGTATGATCGGCAAGGCCTGAAGTTAAAGAGGTTGTTCGTTGCCAGGTTTCACATTTTATATATTTGTGCTGCAGCACCTCTTGTCACCCTCTGTCTGAAACCAGAGCCCAGTCTGCTCTGATTGGTTAGCTGGCCGACCGTTATGATTTGTCAACCGCTTATAGATGTCCCGGCCCTTTGCATATGACATACAATGTAAAGTAGTGCTATCCAATAGAAGCGCTAGTGTTAGAGAAACTCCCTTTAAACTTTGGAATTTTAGCCTTTGCAGACCATTTACATGCACTAAAACATGTACATCACACTATGAAACCCCCCCCAAACTATAATAGGGTCCCTTCAAATGTTTTATTTACCTATCGAACAAGGCTTTTTAGCTTTGGTCTGCTTAGTGCCTTTGAGGACATTAAAAAGCAGCACAACTAATATTAGAAGATTTATTTTTTTAGACATGTGTACCTGGTTGAAATTAAAAAGAGGATTATTTTTGGTTGAAAGGGTTCCTAGATATACACTTTTTGAATGGATGCTTCCTAAGATGTATTTCTTCCAACATTTGGACATACAACTCCTAGTATGAGTTAACTTTAAGATTTAACATCCGTATTCTTGAGATAATGAAAGCAAATTAGTTGCACTAAATCTTTCCTGCATTAGCTTCTGAGGGAAACAAATGTTTGTGGACATGAATCAAAGTGAATCTACTTCTAAAAACGCACCATAATAAAGTCCAATAAGTGAATTGATGATTAAATTGTCTTCTGAATTAAATCAGCAGTATTGTGTTTGGGAACATTTCCTTTTATTCTTATCTAGAGCGCTTTTCTTTGCAGACTGTCTCGGTGTAACAGTCGATGTGGCCTCCGCCTCAAAGTGGCCTAGATACTTTCATTAATTGACATCAGTGGAAGTAATCTGATGAACACAAAGTGCCCTTTAGACCAGACCGCCACACACACACACACACACACACACACACACACACACACACACACACACACACACACACACACACACACACACACCACACACACACACACACACACACACACACACACACACACACACACACACACACACACACACACACACACACACACACACACACACACACACACACACACACACACATACACACACACAAACACACACATACCATGTATACATCACTTCAGGGGACATTACATTGACTTACATGCATTTCCTGGAGACTTATCCTAACCTTAACCATAACCAACACATGCCTAACCCTAACCCTAACCCTTAACCTTACCCTAACCCTAATTCTAAACCTAACCAAGTCTTCACCCTAAAATTAATGATCCCCCTCATGGGGACCTCCAATTTGTCCCAATAAGGGAGGCGAGTCCCCACACGTGACTGTGTAAACAGATGTAGGTCCCCACAAGTATAGTAATGCTAGGCCACACACACACACACACACACACACACACACACACACACACACACACACACACACACACACACACACACACACACACACACACACACACAGAGCAGATGTTTCACGTAATAGGAGCACAACAGGAAGAGAATGCAATTCAATTTAGCCCGAGGTCTAATAGAACATCAAGTGGAAGCGGAAGGCGATAGGGTGTCACACTAGAAGCCCATCTGTGTCCATGCTCTCCTGACAACCCACCCACCAGTGATGTTGTTCTGCTGCAATGAGAAAAGAGCACCCTGATGCATCGTAGGCAGTAAACACCTTCTCAAATTACACCATAAGGACTTGGGGGGTGAGAGGAAGGGCCACAGATCTGTTTAGTTTGATGGCATTCAATGCATGTATTGTCATCATTGTACAATTTCACTCCATTCTAAAGGGATTAGGAGACTCCAGGGCGGTAGTCAGGTGACCTTCAGGCGTAACATGGAAGTATCAGTGTCATTGTTGGTCCACAGTCTCAGAGGTTGACAAGACAAAAGGAAGTAAAAACAAACTATGAAAGGTTTACTTATGTGAGAAAACAACACATTGAGCTCCCTGTCTATCACAAGGTGCCCTGAAGCAGACCTATGTCCATTTGACTATAAATGGGACCTTTGTTACCAAAATGAACATCATGCTGTATTGAAGAAGATTTTAAACCATGGGTTGAGACTATAAACGTGAAAGGAAAATGCTTACTGAGGTTACAAATCAAGTGAGAAGTATGGTCTTTTATTAGATTTTTTGTTTTATATCGAGATTCTTTTAATTGTTTTAGATTTTATGTATGCACCATGACATCAAGTCAAATTCCTCGTATGTGTGAAACTACCTGGCAATAAACCCGTTTCTGATTCTGATTCTGATTCCATAGACTTCTATACAATCTGACTTATTTTTGCAACCAGTGGAGTCACCCTATTGGATATTGGAGAGAAGTGTACGGCAATATTTTGTTATTTTTGGACCAGGAGTCATGGTTTGATAGAGGCTAACAATGTAATCCACAATGTAGTATATAAGTGACCATAGGTAAACATGAGACGAATCGAATGTTTCTGTTCATAGTGAAAAATACATTGAACACACCATATGTGTGGGACACCTATCAGTGTTGAAGTTAACGACATAAAGGAAATATTGGACTTTTCCTCCATGGTTCAAAACATGTTGATACTTAGATTTGTGGTTGTAGAAAATGCCTATATATCGTTGAAAGCAAACATATTGTCTCTTATGAATTTGTTCAATACAGTCGCAGCCAAAGGGATAAACAACACATTGCAAACTTGTTTGACAAATGTAAATCTTATTACTGGGATAATATTTTGAATGAAGCCGGGAAAGTATTGAAAAACTGAATGCATAATCCTCTGTGGAGAGATGTTATCCTTTGATTCGACTTATTTTTGTGTATCTTATCAATATCCAACAGTATTTGTTTTACGTTTCCCAAATGCTTCTCACGTCCTGATTCATCCAACAGTTACATTGTATGGCATGTGATGTAAGCAAGCTGTTAGGAGTCACAGATTTTACCTTAAGTTTCCTGATGTTGCCCTACAGCCACATTGTGTTAAATCGAGCAGATGCAGGCGAGAGAAGCAACGGTTCCAAGTCACAGACAAACTGCCTCAAAACTAAATTACCATTAAAAGCAAGCTGGAAACCATTTTGTTTCGGGCTGTTTGGCCAGCAGCAGGTGCTTGTGGAACACATGGAGATGCATTTCCTTAAGAGCCTTGCTCAAGGACACGTTGACAGTAGTTTTGGGAGGCAGGGGAAACAACTTTACAAACTCACTTTTAAATGTACCAGCAGGTTGGGAGATTCAAGGTTTGTCTGCGCTCTAGGCAACTCTTGCCTCAAGACATTGAGAGAGAGATCGAGTAAAGTGGTCTGTAAAGCAGCTCCGACGTCTCCTTTCTTTAAGGAAGCCGCGATAAAATCATATAGAGCTTTCCTATTAACATTGGCAGGCATGCTTGGAGTATATCCTTATGTGTGAGGTGCATATTCTATCCTTTCCTGAGGCTAGGGTTGGTAGTCGAGTCTCACACTTATGTTATGTTGTCATGTGACTGGTAAAATATACAGTAACAGTGGGAGATTTGAAAGGAGGTGGTGGCGAAGTCAATAGGGACTTGGCTTAGCAACTGGGTCACCAGTTCAAGTCCCGGAAAGACCGAGTGCTACCGAGCTGTCCCTGAGCAAGGCACCGTTCCCTACACTGCTCCCCGGGCGGCGTTCAAAATGGCAGCCCACTGCTCCTAACACTAGGATGGGTCAAATGCAGAGAAACAATTTCCCCACGAGGGATTAATAAAGTATATCAAAATAAAAATAAATAAAACGGAGGCTGTGCGTTTTCTTTTGACCCAGGAGAATGAAGCAGATGGCGCTCTGGTAGAGAAGCCCTTAAGGAAGACCGTGGATTGCTGTGCATATTTGTCGTGTTTAATGTTGATCAAGGAAGAGCAGCTCTGTTTTCCCAACACACACACACACACACACACACACACCAACATTCCTGTGTGGTAGAGAGCTTTTGGTCGATAAAGACTAGACAGCCTCTAAGTAGCTCCCCTCATCATTAGTTCCTCGAGCCTTCTCTATGGCTACGACTGCTCATTTGTAAGTGTGGGATGTTTCCCCGGCTCCCATCTTTTGTTGCCCCCACTGTTTGCCATTCAGTTTATGGGGCCCACACACACACACACACACACACACACACACACACACACACACACACACACACACACACACATGGATCCCTCTCTTTTATTATGGGAATTCCAGGCACATGTGAGTGAAGCAGGGAGGGCGGACCTGATACCCCTCCCCCTCCGGCCGGTATCCCCTATTTCTCACAGATTTCTCATGGGGCTAAGGGAGACGAGAGGGGGGAGGAGGAGGAGGAGGAGAAGGTGGGGAGAGAAGGAGAAGTAGGAGGAGAAGGGAAGGGGAGCTAGGCTAATTCATCAATAATCTTTACCTAATCCCTCCCTCTCACAGTCTCCTTCTCACTCTCGATCTCTCGCTCTCTCTGCCTGGAGGCATTCAAGCAATACATCCATCCCCCGCCCCACCTCACACACACACACACACCCACAGCCCTTACACACACACACACACACACCCACAGCCCTTACACACACACACACACCCACACACACACACACACACACACACACACACACACACACACACACACACACACACACACACACACACACACACACACACACACACACACACACACACACACACACGCACACACATAAGAGTCTGCCTGAACACGTCCAGAGGGAGAGGATGAATCGAGCTGGAGAGTGTTATTTCTTTCGCCTCCATGTGTGTGTCGGTGTGTGTGTGTGTGTCTGTGTGTGTGTAAGTCAGGTCCTCTGAGGGGCTGTGTGTCTTAGCTCTGACCGGGAGCCAAAATGGTGATTATAGAGTAGAGAGACTAGGTGTGGCAAGATGGGGCGGCGTCAAAGGCTTTGTCTATAGTTCCCGTGCAGCCCACCAACCGGGAGGAGGCTCAGCCTGTCTATCAGAGTGTGTCCTGGGTCTCAGTCTGGGATTGAAAGAGCTGCTACTGCACGGGGCTGAACCTCTTAAACCGGGACCTGAACCACCGGGAATAAGACAAGCACAAGTTCAAGAAGCCTCGTTGGGACCTTTGTAAGCCAGTTACGAGACCGAGTGAAGAACTGCTGGAGCATACTGCCTCTTTTTTTCTCCTATCGCACTCATTTAACTCATGACAAAGATTCTTTAAAGAGAAACAACAGAAAGAAAACTTCTGCGGAGTGCCTGCCGAGTCACAAACCTTCTGAAGAGGACCTTTCTTTTTTTAAGGGGGAATCCAAAGAGATTTATTTCTTCAAGGATGCGATCTCAATGATAACACCAGTTGGAATATGGGACTTTTAATCTATGATTTGGACCATGGGGACAGGAAACTATGTTTTGTTACTCAGCTCTGGGTAATTTTGATAAGTATGTCACATTTATTCTGACCTATTCCGTATGATGATTTTGTCCTGCTTTGATTTCACTGTCGTAAGCTATGTTGGCTCGTCTTTTGCAACAAGTGCAGTGCAGTGTACCACGTTTAGCCTATGCACTATCCGGACACACGTTTTCTTGTTTATCCTGTAGTTCAGACTTTCATATCCCTTGTTAGTTTGTATCTTGAAGATTTCAACAGCTTTGTGTTCCTGTTCAAACTGTTGAATAGTGCAGCTACGTCAAAGCTCACGTGGAGTTTGATCATTTCAACATGTTTCATGGAGTAGCCTGTGCTCTGGATGCTTGACATGTATTGACCACTTATCATGTGATTAGTGTGTGTTGACCTTCTCCCCTTTACTCTCCGCGGCTAACTGAGCGGTGACTTCCTGCTCTCATCGTTTGGGTTCATGAACCTCTCTTTTCTACATATTTTTGTTCTCTCTCTGTTTAAAAAATAGGCTGCATTACAATGTGTAACGTCTCTTTTCTCCTTCCTCTCTCCACAGCTCTTGCAGGTAAAATCTCTCCCACCAGCTCAGATGCTCTCCTCAGCTTCTCAGCAGTGACGGCCAACCCCTCGCCTCCCAATGTGTACCTTCCCGCCAACTTCAAAATGTCCAACGCACAACTGGCCTTCTTCCTACGGGAGGCTCAGATCTCAGGACCAACAGTTGGCGGCAGGAGCAACCCGAGCTCTGGACACCCGCTGCAGCGCTCGGAGAGTTTTGTGGTTTTCCAGACAAAAGAGCTCCCTGCCATCAACATAACCTTTGGGCCTTTTGCCCGGGACCAGGCTCTGTCCAAAGAGTTGCTGCAGCCCACGAGTCCGCTGGATATCCCCGGACAGCTGACGGTCAACTGGAAGGTGCGGGCGTTTATTGTCCAGGCGAGGGTGTTCTCCAACAACCCCACGTTGCAGGTGTTCTTCTACATCGCCGGGCGCGACTGGGACGACTTCAAGGCTCAGGACAAGCTTCCCTGCGTCCGTCTGCACGCCTTCCGGGATGTGCGTGAGATTAAAACGTCCTGCCGCATGAAGGGCAACCTGGCGCAGTGTTTGGCGCAGCTGGAGCTACCTCCGTCCTGGTTTAACACCAACGTGGCGCCGCTGGGTCGGAGGAAAGGCTCGACGGACGGGCTCCTGGACGGGTTGACCAGTGAGACCCTGCAGGCGGAGCTCTACTACACCCTGCACGGGCCCAATGTGGACGGGGAGTGCATTGAGGGGTTAGGGCACAGGGGTGGAGGTGCTTCCAGGGGAGAACCTCTGTCACAGCACCCCCTGCTGCGCATCGGGAGCATCAGCCTCTACCAGGCCAGCCAGGAGCAGCTGCTGGTGGACAAGCAGCTGGACAAGAACATGTTCCTCAGGCTGCCCGAAAAGCCCCTGAAGCCGGGGGAAGTGCTCCAAATCTCCCTCTACTTGATGCCTAACTCCACTGTGGAGCAGTTCACCCTCAGGTAAGTCTCCTTTACATGTATACTGATGAGACGCTCTGTGTTTCCTGATTGCTTCCAAGTTCATTCCATCCTGAATGTCAATTGTAATGTGTTTGCATTCACACGTCTACCCTTTAGGGGGGGAAATAATGATCAAGCTGTTTACATGCACAGCAGAAGCTCATTCTAAGAACGCTCCTGTTTCCATGCAATCATGTACACAAGAGTTATTGGTGAATGAATGATTTGCCTGGTTCCTGGTAGAACTCAGACAACATTAGTCATTTCCCTGCTGTCATGAACTGCAGTGTTATATCTCCCTTTATAGTTATGCTCACACATAATCGTCTGCAATTTGTCCAAGGCTCAGGCTTAAGGCTGTAGTGCTGCATGTAAACAAAGCTCTGCAGTGTGGATGCTGCATCTTGTGAAGTCCCCACTGGAAAGGCTTATAAGAAATATGGGTTTTAAACGTCCAAATAGCCCTTCATTAATGAAACAATTATCACAGCACGGGATGTCTTCATCACAGTCTTCATAATCAGCCTCATTCAAAGCAGCATAATTAGGGTTTTACAGTACCTCATAATTAATTGCGGCATTTTCAAAAGGCACATGAGTATGTAAGTGATGCCAAACGTTATGTAACACGAATTAATGTAATATTCTCCGTCTTTCCAGCACATGCATAGCAACGCCATTTGTGTTCATTGTATGACTAAGGAGCCTAATGAGCATGTAATCACATATTTTATCCTTCTCATTAATTTCTCCTTTACTGAGCGCAGCAGTGATGTGCCAGGAGTAATTAAAGTCAGGTGAGATAAAAGGGAGACGACAGGTTAAAGTAAAGCCGCTCTGTACGGTCACTGTTTGAAGTGGTGGCTTAACACCCAGGGAGTTCTTATTTAGTATCTCTTCTGAGGACAGGATTGTATGAATAGTGTGCAGTGAAGTGCAGCTCAAAGCATTTTGTGTTTAAAAGCACAAGGCCTGAGTCACCCAGGTTGAAGTTTGTTGATCACATATTGAAGTGAATTTCTAAAATATTCAGTATTATAAAAGAGGCCATACTGAAACCTTAATATGGGCAAACATAGAATTGATTATTTCTCACATTGACTTATTAAACGGTGCACATGTCTGTGTGACTACGGCAACATGCAGCTGGTGCTTACTGCTTATTATTTTCTAAGAAACCTTTGCTAAATATTTAACATGCCGTATGAAGGATACTCTCATTATGTTTGAATAACTGCAAAACATCAGTGAAATCAATAAACGCTCCGCCATTAACCATGATGAATTATGAAAAGGCATTAAAAGAGTATTTAATGTATTCAGTTGACTTCTTTAGTGCTGGAATAAAAGGGCCGAATTGAATTGAAACGTATGCAATTTGTTCTCAGACTGCAGATGCATTCAACATGTCTGCATTTTATGAGCACATACCGTCAATCTAAAATAATAGAGATCATTCATACAGCCAGAAAATGTCAGAATCCTTCATTTTCATTTGATTATTATTATTCGATGTGATTATAAAGGTCTGTTTGACTGGGTATCATCAGTGTTACCGTCCATTACTCCCACCATCATCACTTCAAACTCCCTTGTTGCTCCATGTTTGGTCCCCTCCATCTCCTCGGGGACTCTTCAGGTGTTTCCACGATGTTCACCAGCTGTTTGCTAACTGCTGTTTGCTGTTGAGTAGGTAGTGTACAGTGTTTTTAGAGGTACACTGCTGATGTGTGTGGCTGTAAACAAGTGGTGGGAGGGAACCAGAACAGTAAAGTTGTCGGACAGACGGATAAACAATGAGCTGAACTCACTTGTGAGGTCTGTAAAGCCAGAGGGAGTAGTTTGGTGATTATTCTCTACAGGTTCTTCATAATGAGCATCCCCTTTCACACTGTCATCATGTTTTGCAGTGTTATTTAACATTTTGAAACTAGATCAGGGGGTCCGCGGGGTCTTAAAAAGTATAAAAAGTTGATCAATCAATGTAGCGAAAATGAAGGCTATTAAAAAGTATGAAAAGGCATTTTCCAAGGTGTTACATTTTATAGCTTGTTTTCAATAAGTATATAAATGGTCCAAAGAGGTTGTATTCTACAGTGTGCCTGAATGTAATCATGGCGTAGGTGTGTAGTGTGATTCTGTAGTTTATTTATGGCATCCCGTTGGGTTTGACGTCATCTGAACAGGACATCGCGCGCTCACTGCTTGATAGCGCGAAGCTCCGTTTACGCCGGTTGTTAAACAACATCGTTATGGGGAAATGCAAGTCTGCGTCCAAATGGTTGGAAGATAAGGAGGAAGGACAATCAATACTGTCTATAGTCAATGTGAGGTAAAGTGTGTCGCCAAGGTAACCGGTTAAAACTCCAAGTGGCGATGAGGTCTTAAAATGTACGGAAAGGGTCTTAAAAAAGGTCTTAAATTTGACTTCAGGATTCCTGCATATAGCCTGTAGATATATGTGTTGCCACTTTAGGGACTTCTCATGTCTGCAGGAACACTACCTTCCCCTGGTTTTGGGCCATATATGCACAATATGAGCATCATTTAAAATGAAAGGAATAAGAGTAAAGTAAAGTGTCATGATATTATCTTACAAACAACAGCCATTAGTCGTATCACTTTGCTACTTCTTGTTGTATTTTCTACTTCTCTATCATTCCTCCTACACTCCTATCAGCTTGAAATGGTTTCTTGTTTACTCAGAGCATCATCACGGCTGCAGTAAATGATATTTGGCCGTGTTGAATTTCTGAGTTTGACCCTCTGCCTAACGGAGCTGAGGGAGCAAGACGCTGCTTTCTCTCTGCTCGGTTGTTCAGCGTTATGGAACAAAATGATTGTTTACTTGACAAAGCTTAAGGAAAGTACGTTTTCTTTTCTCCTGCTCGTAGGCGGGAAAGCAGCAGGATAACTGAGGAACCCAATATTACCCACTGTCTCAGCAACAATGATGAAACACACAGTAAATATGATTGTTGTAATCTTAACTGAAAATCGTAACGAGTGAAATTCAGAGCTATGCGGGATATTAATTAACCCCAATGACTCAATATGCTCCGAGGGAAAGCGAGTGTAACATTCTCCCTGCAGGAAGGGTTTATTAATAATGATTCCTCACATCTCAGTGTAAGTGGATTACTATTAATACACATCTAACCCCTAAAGGGGACGACACAAAAACCTCAAAACTTGGTGACACGTTTTCTTTTTTATAATCAAAACAATGTGTTGGACATCTCAACAGTGACCTGTGTCTTTGCCCGTTGATTAAACCTGCATACTGATGCATTTATAAATCAAGATACTTATATATCTTTACAGCTACACCTCCAAATGAACATGCATTATACCCAATTGACCTTCACACTACCCTTTACTACCATATCATTTGAGAGAGTGCAATTTTGGATTCTTCTGGTGGTCATAGTTGCATTGAAATGGTGGGGAAACCTTTTTCAGACTAAAAGAAAGCTTATTTACAGATAAAACTAACCATTATATCAAAATATAATATTCATTTTATATTTGTATACCTTTCATTTTGTTACAAGGCACATGCAAATGAAAAATCAACAGAAAGAAGCAGACCGGCTGGCTGTGGATGGATTATATTAGTTATTTCCAAATAAAATACCTTGAAATAAATGTATTGACCCATCAGGATTTATACGCCGCAGGTTTTCCTTGTGTCTTTAATTTCAGGAGTAAAAGAACAGAAAGCTTTTACAACAGCTGAACTTTTTTTTAATATCAAGACACAGTCCTCATTTGTTTAAAACCACTTAGCAATATCAAAAATTCTGACTTGTTTCTGACCCGTCTCTCGGTAAGTGATTTTGGATGGGAAGCTTTTTGTGTGTATATTGAAAGCAATTATCCCACTCCTCCTCCTCCTCCTCCTCCTCCTCCTCCTCCTCCTCCTCCTCCTCCTCCTCCTCCTCCTCCTCCTCCTCCTCCTCCTCCTCCTCCTCCTCCTCCTCCTCCTCCTCCTCCTCCTCCTCCTCCTCCTCCTCCTCCTCCTCCTCCTCCTCCTCCTCCTCCTCCTCCTCCTCCTCTCCTCCTCCTCCTCCTCCTCCTCCTCCTCCTCCTCCTCCTCCTCCTCCTCCTCCTCCTCCTCCTCCTCCTCCTCCTCCTCCTCCTCCTCCTCCTCCTCCTCCTCCTCCTCCTCCTCCTCCTCCTCCTCCTCCTCCTCCTCCTCCTCCTCGAAGCCAGAGTGCTAACCATTCATTATCAAAAAGCCCCACCCCCATGAATCTCAAGCATGTGTCTTCACACCGTCAGAGCAACACTTCTTAGATCTTGAAGACTCCCCCTCACTTTAAAGCCATAATCTAATATCAGCCATAGTACTTTTCCCGCAAAGGTTCATGAGAACTCAGTACTAACTAAGTAAAGATCGCGTTCACACCGGAATAAGTTCCCTGAGGGAAGATTACGCAAATGAGCCGCTGACGTCACTTCGTCTTCTTCTGCATTGGGTTTACTGGCAGGCTGCAAACAACTTCACGGCGTATACTGCCACCCGAAGTCCCCGGTCGGAAGTCTCCGGCCGGAAGTCCCCAGAGTTAGGGACTGGCTTCAGTAGAAGCTGCTGGGACTCCCAGCAGCTTCTACTGAAGCCTTCAGAGTAAATCGCCAGAACGCCGACACCTCCTCATCTCCACCGCTCCCATGTTTTCTTTTGTGTTGTCATAAGTTAGTCTCTCTGCGTTGGTGCGCGGGGCTAATGCTAATGCTAATAATGCTAATGCGAGGATAATAAAATGGCGGCTTCACAAAACTTTTTGGGGAGTTTTACGGGGCGTGGTTTGCAATCCGCCCAGCCAATCAGACATAGGAACCTTTTTCTCCCACGAAAGTCCCTGCTCTCTAGCAGGGACGGAAAAGGGGGTGAAAAGCTTCTCCAGAGCTAATTTTAGTTCCGGATTTGTTTGGTGTGAACGCAACGTTTCGGAACTAAAGTGGGGGAAATATGTGTGAAAGTGCCTCATGATATTCTCACACAGCTTCAGAAAACACAGCGTCTCTGCCTGGGAGTGTTCTGAACTGTAACAGATGTTCATTAAATCACAGAATACAGAGTAGTGGGAATGGGTCAGTCGAGGCGTGGTGTGACAAAGCTACAGGCTCTGTAGTACAAGTGGAAGGCTTTTGTCATATCCCCTGCCTCTTGAAACATTTAGCTGACCATGTTAGCATCCAGCGAACCCCCTGTAGTTCTGTCTCTTGCAGGGATGGAAATGAGGAGTGATAAAACAGGAGGGTTAATAAAGACATGGGGCAGGGAGAAGAAAGCCTGGCATCAAACCTCCTGAGTGAGGCCGCTCTGTGGGGTGTGAATTCAAAAATTCGTGAAGCCAACAGTCGCATCGAGGAAGATGATTAAAGATGGAGCGTGTTGAAAGATGAATCAGAAGGTTTTTCATCTCAACTCTCCCGTTAGCGCTATCAATTGTATTTCCTTTTTGCTCGCCCAGCTTTGAAGAGCTTTGATTTGTTCCTGCAGATGAGGACAGGACCGGACCACTTGAGCTCATGTCGTGCAGAGAGATTGGCATTACAAGTGTTTCTAATGGTTGATATGTATAGCATGAGAGTGTCAGGTTGCAAAATGATGTTGTTTCTCTACATTAGCTTCTGTCGCTCTTAATGTTATTTAAAACCATTATGCAGCCTTTGATTGTTTCTAATATCCTTCTATCACAATCACACATTTATATATAGAAGCAAAAGAAGACTCCATCAAAACTCGCTTCATTAAAGACGATCATTATGTACTTGTTTTGCAGAATACAAGTAATTAATATTCGTGCTGCAAACTAATATTATAACCACTTGTATTTTAATATAATTTCGTTTTGTTTGGAGTAAATAGAGGATTCAGTGCCGTTGCACTGAATACAATCATGTATTGAGTGATATATGAGAAGTGCAGCAGACAGAAACAGACACTACATTAATGTGCACACTAATATCTTATTAATATTATTCTGAATATGACAATAATTCAAAGTTGAAAGTGATCACATAAAAAGCTAATTCTGTGTCGATATTCCAAATCAGACCTTACTCTGAATGTATTTTCGGGGTTAAGACATGAGAGATATGCAGATAATATTTGGGTTTTTAGGAGCCTTGAGACATTTGATCCAACTATGCCATTGATATCAACTCTGTGCATTGTACACAAAGTTATATCCAACCGTTTGCAAAGCTTAAGAGCATACCCAAAGTAAAAGTGCACATTTCTAGTTGGAAGGAGAAACACAACTGCTTATGTTATGAAGGACTTAGATATCAACAGGTTTTGGCTCTGTACACAAGGTTAAATAAGTATGTGAACGATGCACATTTTGAAAGCAGCATGAAAAAGAGAATTCATTTTTAATGGCTATTCACACAAAACCAGAATATTTTGTGCATGTTGCTTAGCGCCAAGGCTAAGGGCAAAACAGCTGAATAATATCAATGATATCAAAGGATTTCACTAAAACTGCATTATAATTTCGCTTGAAAATGGTTTAAAGTCATTGGCTGTGATATTTAATTGAACCTGCTTATCCGGTTTAATAAGCTTTATCGACAAATCTACGTTGACAGTAAAAGAAAAGTAATATAATGAATGTATAATTACTGTCAGTGGTTTGTGTTACTTATGGTAGTCATGAAAATTAGCTTAAGATTGTGCTTCACTTGTCGTTTTGTAAAGCGTCATTCATCAATCAATCAATCAATCAATGTTTATTTATATAGCCCAATATCACACATGTTACATTTGTCTCAGTGGACTTCACAGTGTGTACAGAATATCAGTATGACAATACGACACCCTCTGTCCTTAGACCCTCACATCGTACAAGGAAACACTTCCAGAGAAAACCCACAGTTTAAAGGAACATGGGAGAAACCTCAGGGAGAGCAACAGAGGAGGGATCCCTCTCCCAGGACGGACAGACGTGCAATAGATGCCGTGTGTAAATCCAAGAGATAATACATTTTAGGTAGACCAAATGTTTGGAAATGCATGTGTCTGTAATAAGAAGATGAATCCACGAGGATGTCAATAATCCTGTGGGAGCCATCAGGGAAGTAATATGATGAGGGTCAGGCAGGACCGCAGAGACCTCAGATTGTGTTTATGTGAACAACTGCTCAAATAACTACATATAGTCAAATGTGGTTATTTTAGTGATATAAAGCTGAACTGAATTAGCCACCTTTAGCTTGTTTTGGGTTTCCCCGCCCTTTACCTCTGCTTTTTATTTCGACCTGCAGCCAGCAGCTGCTTTAAGCATCAACAGAAACAGAGATAAATCTCACTAAATCTTTAAAACATAAACATGTCGTCTTACTCTGCCGTCACTCTTCGGACGATCTGTCTCCCTTCAAGGACACATCGGCCCTGTCCGCACTAAATACAAAGCTTTGGCCGATGAATCATTTCTAAGATGCTTGTAATGTCTTCATAGTATTTTCTCAGTGAAGATGTATTCACTTAAATGCATGTCATAGCATAGCAGGGAAAACAAGGTCTCATAGGCCAACAAATGTTTTATTTGTGTTTTATGGGATAATAACCAGTGGTGTAGTGGGCGTTGGACGCGTGGGTTTTTTAATAGTCTAATAAATATAAAATCATTGCCAGTGTTATCAGTTGCAAGTGTGTATTTGTTGTAATAATGACGAAAACATAATAGGCAGATTTCACAGTAATTATAGTGTGTGTGTGTGTGTGTGTGTGTGTGTGTGTGTGTGTGTGTGTGTGTGGTGTGTGTGTGTGTGTGTGTGTGTGTGTGTGTGTGTGTGTGTGTGTGTGTGTGTGTGTGTGTGTGTGTGTGTGTGTGTGTGTGTATTTTTATTATTTGTCCCACGTCCCACAAATTGAGACGATGTCCTGCATTTGAGTGACAGTCGCGCAGAAAGGCCGGATCGGTTCGCCCATAGTGTCTCCCGCCCCGTTGTTTTAGAATTCAAGAAATACGATAAAGCAGGATTTCTTTATCTTTAATTATTTATACTGTATGTAAAATCATGACGTTGTATTCTGAACAAAGTAAATGTATGGACAATGTATGAGTAATACATAAATCAAAATAAACACTGTTTGTTGGAGCCCAAAAATACTGTTACTTTTGCAGAAGTATTTGTCCTGGGAATAAATGCAGATTTTTTCTCACGACAAACGCTACGTATCTTAGGGGCTGTAGGGATATTTATATTTCAACTGAAGCACAAAAGCAAGCCCTAACCTTCCCCAGTGCCAGGGAAATGATAATTATTTCCTCTGTTCTGGAACTAACCCTGTTTTGCTAAAGAGCTGCAGCTGGTCGGCAGCCAGAAATTCCGTGTCCCCTGGTTTATTCATGTGGAGACTCGCACACAAGGTCATGTAGGAGGCTTAACCTGCACTGCATGCATGTCGATGCAGAAAAAGTGACGATCTGCCAATTGAAATTTCGGTGACTCATGACATTTCCGATGAAGTAGACACATCCCTGTTGCTCATCTATGTGCACGATCAGAGATGGAGAAAGTACACACATTCTTAACTCAAGTAGAAGTACAGATATTCCTGTTTAAAAATACTCTGGTAAAAGTAGAAGTACTGACTAAACTTCTTTAATCAAGTGAAAGTAAAGAGGCTTTTAAATGGTCTTAAGTAAAAAGTCCCCATAACTAGCAGCTGTTTTAAAGAGTACCTGACCTCCCTTTATATTAATAGAACAATAATGTCATTGTTAGCTAATGAATGTTTCCATGCTGAACAACGGCAACATGACAACGTTTCCATTGGTCCCTCTTCTTTAGAGAAGACCAGGAAATGATGGATACACGGATCGTGTTCAAATCAATAGGCACGCAATGACTCTAAAGAATAATGATCACGCACCAAACACACATTCAGACTAAAGGAACCAGCTGTTTGGAGAATGAGAGAAGTAGAAAGTACAGGTATTTGAGTTCAACATGTAAGAAGTAGAAAGTACAGGTATTTGAGTTCAACATGTAAGAAGTAGAAAGTACAGGTATTTGAGTTCAACATGTGAGAAGTAGAAAGTACAGGTATTTGAGTTCAACATGTAAGAAGTAGAAAGTACAGGTATTTGGGTTCAACATGTAAGAAGTAGAAAGTACAGGTATTTGAGTTCAACATGTGAGAAGTAGAAAGTACAGGTATTTGAGTTCAACATGTAAGAAGTAGAAAGTACAGGTATTTGGGTTCAACATGTAAGAAGTAGAAAGTACAGGTATTTGAGTTCAACATGTAAGAAGTAGAAAGTACAGGTATTTGAGTTCAACATGTAAGAAGTAGAAAGTACAGGTATTTGTGTTCAACATGTAAGAAGTAGAAAGTACAGGTATTTGAGTTCAACATGTAAGAAGTAGAAAGTACAGGTATTTGTGTTCAACATGTAAGAAGTCAAAGTAAAAAGTCGTCAGAAAAATAAGTAGTGGAGTAAAGTACTGATACCTGAAACATGTACTTAAGTACAGTAACAAAGTATTTGTACTCCTCTACTTCCCAACTCTGTGCATGGTACAATGCCCTTGGAAACAGTACAGCATGCAGTATTCAAAGGCTCCAAATAAAGGCTGGAGGGAAAGCGCAGTGAAAGCCAGGGCGAGTGACCCACATTCTGCCGTGGTGGTTTCTTCCCCAGCAGAAACATGCATGCTAGTTGGAAACACAGCAGCTTCCTGACCTCAGCCTCTGCTTCCTACAGTCTCCGGGGTCTCGCTCTGCGTCCCACGTCTCATCGTCGCTGTCACTGTCTGCTCGTCTTCTGCCGGCACTTTGATGGGAAACGTCAGCACCTCTCTCCGCTCGTTCAGATCGTATGACTCGGGCAGTGATGCCTCCGCCGAGGGCCGCGTTGTCACGACACATCGGGTGACACGGAGAACTGATGTTTATCAGCTGATAGAAGAAGAGAGGGGCAGAAGAGAGCTTCCACCCGATGAGGAAATAAGACTTTATATGAGGCCTTATTGGATTGTGTCTACTTCCTACTGCTTCCTTCCTTCCTTCATTCTTTTCTCTCTCTCAACCATGAACAAGTTATTTGAGGTCGAGCAGCAGGGGGGAAAGTATTGTGAACTATAATGGGTGCCGATCCCCTCTTAACCGCCGTTGGCACAAGTCACAAAAGGGAGGTGAACTGTATGTGCCAAGGTTTTAATGAAATGGGCTTTTTGAGGCTGAGTTAGTTTTTTAATGCTTATAGAAAGTTGCATGTGTCAGCTTTCTACGGCTGGCAGCCATTTGTGCCGGTTTATTCCTCTGCTTGGGTTAATACTAAAGTAATTCAGCCCTTTTCCTAACCTTCAATAGGCACGCTGAGAGACTTTGTTTAGATAATTCTACCCTTGAAAGATTTTTATTTAAGAACCATATCTTTGGAGGGCTTTCTAGTATGCTCAGCATGCCGCTGAGGGTTGGGTTTTGAGACAAACAAACCCAAGCACAAGCAATTAAGTTAGACCTTCCATCTTACTCAACTCAAACCCACAAAGTTAATCTGGGTCAAGCACCCAGCTGTAAACCCATTAGGCATTCACACATAGCGTATCCCTTTTTTCACCATATTGCAAACGCCTCGTTGGGGTGTTCCCTTCCCTATAGGTTTGTGTGCATGTAAATGGTCTGCAAAGGATTAAAATCCCAAGGTTCCCTGTTTTATTAGCAGATATATCCTCATTTAGACACATATGCACATCAACCTGGACATGTTCAGAGAACCAAACTGTATTAAATGAAACAACAAACAAATATCAGCCTGAATTAGATGAAAATGACTAATAATAGGATTTAACAGGAAGTGGTGCAGATGATGGTATAATAGGAGACAATTTTCCCCATTAGCCACTTAATCAAACTTGAATGAATTCTTCCTGACACAGTTAATCGTGCTGGAGCTTTGTGATGGGCTCAGGCTTTGTTGGGAAATGATTTTACATTCAAGATTTTAAAACCATACGGTTTAATATGAAATGTGCTCGGTTTCACCACTATCATCTATTCCCACTGCTAAGTATCAGTGCACATATCTTTTGTAGCCCAAATGGCTTTCATTACTCTTTGTTTTAATGCATGTAGTGTCAAATACTACCGGCTGCTTTGCATTAAGATATTAAGGATACGTTTGCCTCCATATGTTCATCACTAGTTCATCTACAGATGGATATGAAAGCTTATAAATCTACATTCATATCATTTAGTGATCATACTTTGGGCAGTCAGTTGATCTCATGTCTGTTTGTCTGACAGATGGATAAACACAGACAGTCCTGAGGATTTTCTCTACTTTGTTCCACTTTTACCATCCCATATTGGAATATAGCCAAACCCTCCTGCTGTGGTTTATTCAGAGCCTGAGAGACAAATTGACAAAAGCTCAGAGCTGCTCTTTTCCAGGGTGATCAAACAAGCTGTCCTCAGGTAGGAAAATGTGTTTTTCATTTGACTGCACAGGCTTATGTTGTTATCACTGTTTTATCTTTGTAAATCCATTTTCCTGTGCCTCAAAATGGACATGCACATCTTTCAACCACCACATGTGTTTGTTCCTCTTCCAAACACAGTTCTTGTTTTCAGCCGGACAGCTTTATGTTCAGATTTAGCCTCCCAATGTGTCTGCATGCCCCTCAGAATGTGAAATATGTTGACGTCTCTCCAGGAATGCAGATGTATTTTCTTGCCAATGCTTTTCTGCAGTCTCACAATGTCATGTATGTATGACTGTAGGTCTATGTACTGCTTGACATATAAAGGTCTGCAGAACATGTTTGTATAAGACGATGGAAAGAGATAATAAGTCTTCCAATACTCTCAATTATGATTGACTCCACTATAAAAGGTGCATTTTTGTTATGGGATAATTGTGCAATAAAAAGGTAGAAAACATAAAAATGTAGCTCTTCTTTGACAGTTACTTAAAGGTGGGGTAGGTCATTTTGGAGAAAAAAGCTCGAGTGCGCTAGAATTTGAAAATACACAGCCGGAACAAATCTGCCACTTCCTCACAGAGCCCCTCCTCCAACACACACGAATGCGCACATGACCAATGAGGGCACGAGATAAGTTTGTGCCCAGATGGAAGGCTGACAGGCAGGTAGGCCATCCAGTTACTTTAGCCGGCTCAGATGATTGGTCGAGCTTTTTACAGCGCCACGGCTTCCAGAGAGGACATTTTTTTTATAGATTTTTGTCAAAGCACTTCAGATATTCATTGCTATCGGGATGTTAAGAGAATTCCATGGAATATAACAACAAGTGTATCTCGAGCCGGTTTCTCAAACGTACCTACCCCACCTTTAAAACTAGTCATTGCTCAATAAAAGTTATTTTACTTTTTGATTGGTTTATATACTCATCTGATACATTTACCTGAGCTTCTGATCAAATAGGCTGATTGGTGCAGTAAATGTGTCCCAATGTCAGGATGCATATCTGTCCTCTCTTTGGACAAATAAACAACTTTCTACAAAAGGAAAAATGAGCTAGGAACCCTGATTAACAGCAGTTGTGGTCAACAGCGAATTAAATTAAAAAAAACCCACACCTCTGAGAGAGTCTGATTCATTCATCAGGAAGGAACTCAGTGCTGCTAAACGTGCTCAAATCAGTAATGTCCTTAAAGAGGCCCTATTATGCTGACCAATCAGAGCAGACTGGGCTCTGGTTTCAGACAGAGGGTGAAAATAGGTGTGCAGCACAGGCAGTATGAGAACAATAAAGAGCTTTTTGAACATTAAAGCAGGAGACATGTCCCAGTAGAGACACAGAATATAAATACGAATCTGAAAGGAGCAGAATTTGTCCTCTATGGAAAGTCGCTGAGATCGGTGTTGCATAACTTTCTCTGAGAGATAAATGAGTGACATAATGTTTTCACTCTCTGCTGCGTTTGTATCTCCTTGCAGACTCATCATGACAGGATGACATTCAGAAAAAGAAAATGCAATAATGTAAATACGTTGACAGGCAAGTAGCGAGGCATCTGACCCTGTGAGGTTGTCATATTTCTCAGTCGGTGTGACATTTCTGTCCCCCTTCCTCACCCATTAGATCATTGTTCTACCCTCCTGCGACACACACGGCCTTATGTGGTTATCTCCAAGCCTTCAGGGGTTAAGACACATTTTCCTCTGCAGGCTGCCTCCATTTACCTGTCCCTCCCTCCTTCATGTTGTCACAGACAGAAATTGGACAGGCTTTATTACTATCTCCCCCCTCCCTTCCTCCCCGCTTCTTCTTTCTGCCTGTTATGATGTCTACCGAGAGATTTGCCGAACCAATCTGAAGTAATACACACAGCTCTACCCAGCGTGAAGGACTGTACTGCCCAGTAGGCTACAGTTTCAAAGGAGGCACTCATGTGGAGAAGTTGCATCTTCCCCACCGCATATAACTTTTGATTTTAATGATGTGCTCTCCGCCTTGAGTGAGTGTTCTTCGCAGCTGTTATTTGGAAAGCTGAACATCAAATCCTGCAGATGTGCTGTTTACTGAAGTCCTGAGAGAACACTCTTTAGGTCATTCAGAAGTTTCAGAGTAATTGTGGGTTTTTTGACAAGAAGAGCTTTTGCTTTTTATCGATCCAGAAAGAAGAAAATCCACTTCTGTTATGTTTGAGGCTGTTAAGATTAACATGGACCATTAGCGATTGCACTTGTCGCCACAACCTTGTGTCGCAATGTAAACACTAAATGGTTTGAAGTCACGACAGAGATCAGTCAGGCATAATGCTCCATTCATGACGTTAAAATCAGTGCTGTGCTGCTTCCATATGAATGCATCTTCGCTTTATTATGCAGCATAATGGCAGTAATGGTTAATGAATAATGGGTTGGATAATGCATTGTAGGCGCATGGGGGAACTGGAGGAAATGGCATAAATCCTAAAGTCAAGATTGGGTTAATGCATATTCATAAAACATGGCAGCCATCCAGGACTGTTAATCTAATAATTGTGAATGCATGAATTGGTTTTCCACTTCCCTCTGGTGGCACCGAGCACATGATACGCCCCAGCACATTCTCACTCTCATCACGTCTTTATTTGAAACAGGGCAATATTCACTCCAGCATCTGCAGTCAGCGCTTCAAACCCAGCGCTGCCTGCCTGCCAATGTTTCATATTGTTCGAGTGTTTTGGCAAACAATCACAAGAGCAATCCAATTGCCTGAAAGTGTACATCTGCCACTGAAGGACAGTAGCTCTCACTTTCATGTCACAGAATTGGGAAGAAAAGTCCCATTGCTTTTCGGCCCAAAGAAACCTCAGACAGTCTAGCTGGCATGTAGAATCTTTGGATAGGAAGAATTTGAAATGAAGGGAAGGCCACCTTTGGTTTGCCAGAACTCTGCTAGACTCCACCACCCCTCTACAATATTTCCCAGGTGGTGTGACCCGCAGGAATGAGACCAGCCAGGTCCTCGTTTTTCATGAAAGCCAGCCGTGGGTAAATATCACTCGTCTGCTGAGCTGCACTCATATTATAACACCTCCTCTACGCCTGTGTTGGCGTGCATGGTACCTGGCTTTTCATCACTTGATATACTGTTCACAGATCTAAACAGACTTTTGCGTAGAGAAGGATATTGAAGTTTACAAGCCAACACAATGAGTTGATGGTACTGTTTGTTTGTATATTTCTGCTGCTATGGGTTGGTATACTTTAATGGTGCGTTTTCTATCACTCGTTTTAAACAATAACACTTTTTAAACATTTTGAAGCTAGCACATATTAGCAGAAGGTATTGCGGTGTCATAAAGTAGAGACATTCAAAGGTTCTTGAAGTGGAAACAGCCTTTTATAAGACATTCCCTTCTATTGTTCGAAGTTATATCATTGTTGGTGGCACTGTTGGATATCTTTCAGCTTTCCACAGAGCTACCTGATTACTTTCATACTAACAAAAAGATTGATCTGTTTGAACATTGTAAAAACATGGCCAGCAGTCTGGCAAACATTACTGTCCAAAGCAAGAAACCTAAGGATCTACAAGCCCTGACCTCTGCTATGATAAAGGCGGAGCTAAACACTTGGTATTATTAATAAATAGGCAAGTTGTACTTATTGATGTTACGTTGTTGGTCACTCTTCAGCGGTGCTCTATTTTAGTAAAGAGTTTCCAAAGTTAACATCACGCTGGTTGTTCAGCTGACGGCCGATGGCTCCTGTAATATAAGATGTTGA